TATATATATATATATATATATATATATATATATATATCACCCAGCCCCATCCATGGTCCTTAGAGTTTCGAATTTCCCTGAGATGGAACAACTAGGCACCTAGAGCAGCTTTTTTTCAGTACTGAAGATTGAGCCCAGGGCCTTTGTATTGAACTATATATCCTCAGCCTTTTTTTTTCTTTTTCTTTTTCTGTTTTGAGACAAGTAGATACGTTCCCCAGGCTGGACTCAAATTTGCCCCAGAGTTCTGGGTTTACAGGTGTGCACCACCAAGCCCAGTTTAGAACAACTTTCGAAAACATAACTCAAACTTGTTTCTTTCCTGCATGTGTTTTCCACTTCTCCCCTTGAGCCTGGGGTGAAGCCTGAACCCTTGAATGCACCACCTATGGGTCCTCCCCATCTGGCCCCAACCCTCTAACTATCCAGCCTCATCTCACTTCCATTCTCTGCCTTGAACAATGCACTGCTTCCCCCAGTCTAATATGTGGCTTTTTCATGCCTTCCAGCATTTTGCACATACTGCTCCCTCTATCCTTCCCTCTCTTTTCTGGTTCGAAGATTATCCTTCAGACACAGCTCACATTCCTAGTCCTAGTACCTACCACAGTTGCATCCACGAGCTCTGAAAAGTACTAAGTAATAAAAGTACATTGCAAAAGTTACAGTGTCCAAGTCACTGAGTAAACATTTGTTGGTCAGCAACCATTTGTTGAATGCATTATTAGGCTTTTGATAATTGGCTCAGTGCTTGGTTCTTGGTTGAACAAGATGGGATTCCCTCTGGCTCAGCAACATTCTTAATTCCAAAGGAAGAAAACAATTTCCAAAGTCATGTGTTCAAACCAAGATATCCCTGAACTTCCAGGGGAAGCCAAGTTTTATACTCACAGTCCTCATCAACACTTGCATGGAAACTTACACCAATTTAGTATCACTGTCATGACTAAAAGTAAATGAGAGCAGGGGATTTAGCTCAGTGGTGCCACTGCCTGCCTTGAAAGCACAAGGTCCTGAGTTTGATCCCCAGTGCCAAAAATAAAAATAAATGAGTTAGTAATGTTTGCTTTTGTTTTCAGTATCTGCTCCTATGGGGGAGAGAATAGAAATATATCCCTCTTACAATTAAAAAAAAAATCAAGAAATAGTTTTTCCTAGGACCCAGAAATCTGCTAGAGGTTGTAAAATTAAAAGCAAGCCAACAAAATTTTTAAAAAGGCTTTGAGGTTAGAAAATTATATTTTTAATGAATTTATTTTCTCATCATATGTAATGTATTCCCCCCTTAGCCATGAGGGATATGTTTTTAGACCCTCAGTGGATGCCTAAAACTATGGATAGTACCAAACCCCGCATAAACTGTATGGTACCATATTTTTAAATCCTATATGGCCTGCTGCATTGCCATAGGTACAGAGTTAATCTGGCTCCCATGTCCTGATGCCTCCTTTGCTTCATTATTCTCATTCTTTGGGGCTTAATTAAGCAAAATTGAATACAAGCATGGCAATACAGCAACAGTCAGTCCAATACTCAAGACAGTTATTAAGTGACTAACAAGTGGGTAGTATATACAGCATGTATACTTTGAACAAAGGTATTATTCTTGTCCCTGGTGGAACTGAGATAGCTGAATGGTGACTTTATCATGCTACTCAGAATGGCACCTGATTTAAAACTTATGAATTGTTATTTTTATTTCTGGATTCAATTATGGTTGACCACAAGTAACTGAAACAAAGAACAGAGAAACAGCAGATAAGGGGAGACTATGATGTAGAAGACAATAAAATAGACCCTGAAGTATCGCTAAAAGGTTGTACCTGAATTGGTGATGATGGCCAGATTAAAGTGATGATGAGGGATATCATACTTATATGGGGGAAATTTAAAATAAAAATTTAATAGGACCTGTCAGTCTAAATAATAGCCCCTTGGAAGAAAAATCAAAGTTTTGCCTTATTTTAGAATTAATCTACATCATTTATTTATTTTCCCTGAAAATAATTTTTCCCAAGGTAATGACTTTAATCATTCACCTAATTCTAAGGGGATATCTATTGGCTTTTATTTTGCTCAAGTTAATTAGAACCAAGCCAGTGTGGTCACAGTCAACAAAATCAATCTTTCATTGCAAACATAATTTACAGCTTCTAATAAACATAGTTCTCTTCAACCAACATTTTAACTAATGTAGTTTGCTACAATGAATATTTTTCATCTTAATGAAGTCAAATGTCCCTGGTACTAATAAAACAACATTGCAGTATTACAGGAAAGTGCTTAGCAAGTGGCCAAAATCCAAACTACAGATGACAACACACAGAATAAGTTTGGATGTAACTTAAATTGTATGCTAGGTGGTGGTATGTAGATATTTTCTCATCCTTTTTCTTTAGCTACTGATTGTTAAAAATACTTAAATCTTCTCATTTGTGCTGCTAATTGGAAATTGTGCTTCTGGTTTTAATTCAATTTTAACAAAGCCTGAATTAAAGCTATTTTTAATTCTACCCTGGATGTGAGATTTTAAGAAGAAAAATTAGTCAAAGAAACTAGTCTGGCATTCATTCAGTCATTAAGTATTTATTGAGCAACTACTAGATGTTGAGTACTGTCAGTGCTGGGAATACTGCAGTGAGCAGAACAAGGCAGAAATCTGCCGTCTGGAATTTACATTCTATGAGGCAGAGGAGAGGCTGATGGTAAACAAAATAAGTGGGTAAATAAGTAAAACTTAGAAAAAGTTGTTATTATGGAAGTAAAAACAAGAGACTGGAGTGCCAGGGACGAGGATAGGACATAGTATTTGTAAACAGGACGGTCAGGTAGCCTCTCTGAGAAGGTGACATTTAAACAAAGATTTGAAGGAAGTGAGAAAGTGAGGATGTTGATATCTCACTCAAATATCAACAGGTGAAATGCTTTGCAGGTAGATGAAACAGTGAGTGCAAATGTCCTGAGGCAGAAGCAGGTCCACCATGCTCTAGAATTGTGCGGTCCAAGCCAGTAGCCAGGAGCCACGCTTGACTATTTGAACTGAAATTGAACTTAACGGGTACTTAAGTGGAATTAAAAATTCAGTTCTGCCATGTACATGCATCATATTTCAAGTCCCCAGTAGCCACAATATTGGATAGTACAAATATAGAACCTGTCCATCATCATGGAAAGTTCCACTGAACAGCATTGCTCTAGAAAGAGCAAGATGTCTAATATTCCCAGAATGGACTGGATAACAGAGAAGAAAGAGAAGTTGGAAGGCTATAATCGTGTTGGACTTTGAAGACCACTGAAGGAATTCTGGCTTTTATTCTAAGTGAATAGGAAATCTGGAGGGTTTCGCCAGAGGAGTAACTTGATCTGACTTGACACTTAGAAGAACTGAGTTATTTTTGTAATAATAGTTAAAGGTGGACAGAGGTAGTAGCAATGGAAGTGGTAAAAACGTTCAGATTCTACATAAATTTTGAGGTTGGAACCAGCATGATGAAGACGTGAAGTTAGGAAGGAAGTGTGTGATTGGGATACAGGAGAGACTAAATTAACTTTTATACTGATCTGACTTTGAGATGACAATAGTACTCACTATTAAAAATGTCCACTGGACAACCAGACCAGTGAGAGCTCAGAGAACAACCCCTGAATACAGATATGAGATTCATTCACACAAGAGAAGAGACAAAGCAGGAGTAGAGGGTGAAGAGAAATGATGGAAGCTGGGGAATGCCCACAGGGTGTAGAAAAGTCCTGGTCACTGCAGGAATGGTGAAGGGCAAAGCCCTTAATGAGAACAGAAAAACAGGATGTTACCAAAACAGGAAAGTGTAATAATCTATGGGATTTTTTAGTGCTTAAAGGGGGTTTCTAAAACAATCATTTAATTTGTTCCAGCCAATTCTAGTGTCATTTATGTTAAAAAAATTTTAAATTCAGACTTCAGTTAAATCATAGTACTTTTTTTTAGCTAAATATGTGTATTATTGTTTTAAACTTTCTGATACTAGACAGTAAGCAGATTTTTTTTTAAAGTGGTAGAAGGAATCCAAGTCTTTGTCATAAAGAAGTGATACTTAATTTTCCTGTTGTTTTGTTTTTGCAGTGCTAGGAGTCAAACCTAGAACCTCATATACCAGGCCAGTGTTGTACCACTGACTTACAAGGGAGAAACCACTAGACACTAGAAGGAAAGCTAAGGAAAAAGCCCCACCTGTTCTTTGAGCCCCCTCCACTCCAGGAGCCCCAGTTAAAGGGAAGGCCAAGGGACTCATGAAAGAGAAGAACTCAGAAACAAGCTGATTCACGCTCAAAAACTTGAGATCCAGAAAAGAATTTTACATATCACCTAGTCCAATTTTCTCACTGAACAGATCAGCAAGGTTAAGTAAATTTCTCCATGTTAGGACTCAGGGAGGGGTTTAATTTCCAGTCCACATCTCTCTCTACTTGATGTCTCTGTTATATTAAGAGCAAGGACCTCTTATTCAAAGTAGACAGACTAAATGTAAGGACAAATCCAACAGAAATTCTACTTTCTGGGATCAAGAGGGTATTACAGAGAGCCAGCGTGGAGGGTAGGAATGAGATTTGAAGACGGTTGATGAGTTTAATGGCAGAATATTGACTTCCTACAAAAGCCTTGGCAACAGGCCTCCTGAAATCTGTTTTGGTGTTAAAGTTCTGCTTTAATTGCCATGCTGACCAGCACATAGATGAAATGAACAATGTTAACAAGTATCCGTTTCACTGACTTCTGGGTAATAATTCCTTGGGTGTATGTTTATAAAAATCCATTTTGTTACACCCCCTGGGTATCTTTAGAATAGGAGACTTGCAGAAACGCAGAAGGGACGTGGGAAAAAATAATAATAATAATTGGGAAAGGAGGCCTTGTGGATGGGGGAAAGCAACAGGCAGGCCCAGTCGCTGTGGCCGCCGGCGTCCTTGGTTACCGCTCTCCCTTTGCTGCCAAGCGCCCGCCGACTCTGCCAAAGAACACGGGGGGGGGGGCGCACCTGTGGGTCCTTCCCACGTCCCTGAGCGGACCTGACGGAGCCCGAGGACCCCATTAGGTATCAGAAGTGCTGGGGCTCTCCAAAGTGGCCTCCCAGTCGCCAGCCCTAAGCAACCTCCGCGGAGGGCTGCAAAGGGAACCGAGGCAGACCGAGCCCCGTTGTGTGGGGTACGAGGGGGTCTCCCACCCTGACTCACGTCGTACTCCTTCACCCAAGACTCTAGCTTTTCCTGCAACCGTTGTAAAGATTCATTCGAGGCCAGCTCCCTCAGGTTTTCCGCCATGGCTCGTTTTTCCGCGCTCCCTGCTCCGGGAGATGGAGACCTGCAGGGGGCAACAGCGGCTTGCGCGGGCGCCGGGGTGGTGCGGCGAGAAGGGTGTCACCTCACGGGGCTCAGAGCGCGGCGGCTGCCTCCATCCTCCCCCTCGCGGCGGACCAGGCAGCGTTCGGGAAGCCGATGGGGAGGCACCCAGGGCCCAGGGCCGCGCCGCCTGCGCTCGCAACCCAGAGTGCTCTCCTGGCTCCCCCGCCGCAGCTCCTGAGCCCTGGCCATAAATATCCGGCGATTATTAAACAAACCTTGACGTGGAGGCCGCTGCTAGGGACGCGCTGTCCGGGTCGGGGCAACGCCGGCCCCGCCCCGCTGCCTGCTCAGGAGTCCGCACCATGCCGCTGCCCCTGCTCCTGCTGCTCTTCTTCCTCCTGCTCCTTCTCTTCCTGCTGCTGGCCGAGGGCGAGGGCTCCAAAGCCACCGGCCCTCGCGGTTGGGCCTGGAACTGGAGGGCGCCGAGACCCAGGAGGGCGGCCGGGCAACCCTTCCGTGGGCCCAGACCGGCCTCCGAGCAGGATGAGGCTCAGTGGGAGATCTAGAACCTGCCTTCCTCACAACCTGGGCTCCGGGTGACCACCCTCGGCCTCGAAAAGCAAAATTAACCTTCTATGGGAGTTGATAGGGCTCTCAGGAAATCACCTCTTTGGCCCTTCAGTCCTTCACGTCTCCGGCCTTTAATTCAAACCTAGGGTTTGCCTGTTTGAGCTTGGTGGAACTAAAGTTTCAGTTCTTCCCACTTCTATGCTTGCGTTTTCCTTTGGCCCACAAGACGGGTGTCGGAGGCAACACATTTTATCTCCAGGGAGTTCACAAATTAGTCAGTCCCTCAAGTCTGGGTAAGGTTGGATAGTATATATATTTCAATATATTTCTAGTCATTCAGCACTATAAAGCTTCATTTTATTCTGAATTCTTTGAGATTTTTATGAAAGTTCCCACCCAGTTTGGCACTATTTCAAAAGAATGTATTCAGCCATGGTGATCATTTAAACTGCTTAAATGAAACTTGCAGCCGTCATTAGGAATGTTAGAAGCAATCTCTTGTTTTTTGTACCACCAAATGATACGCTGACTGTAAATTGTTCATTAAGACAGCAGAGGTAGAATTAATTCAAATCAGTTCCATTTAGTTAGATACTTTATATTAACAAAGCATATATTGAATATGTAATCACCATAAAATTCAGAATTTGTACCACCTTATTTTTATTTCACTTAATTTAGTGGTTTTACTGACCACTTAAAAAAATTAAAGGATCATTCTGGAGCCTGTATTGCTATCATTTTCTGTAGACTACATCACAGTAGAATATTAAGTACTAAACTAAAAAAAAAAAAAAAACAACTAAATATTCATTAGAAATTTCCTTCCTAAACGTGTGTGTGTGTGCGTGTGCGTGCGTGCACATGTTTGAGTATGTAAGAAGGAAAGGAATAGAGAAACCTCACAGATTTTTAATTTGGACCCAATAATTGTATATTCCAGCAGATAATAGAAATCTGATCAATTCTGTTTACTTATTCATAAAAAACGAAGTGCAACAGCTATTTATGGCAAATTACAGATTCAATCCTTTCCTTTACTGTGAACAGCTTAGTTTGTAAGGCTTGGTTTCATCATCCATAAAAGGACAATAGTTATTGCTTCATAGGTTTGTTGTGAGATTAAGGTAATTCCTGTAAAGTACTAAGCACAGTGGTTGGCATGCACAGTAGTAAGTTCTCAATAAATGTTATGAGTTTTATTGGGAATGTAGATCACAGTATTGTTTTCAATAAAGAAAATTAGGTTGAAAGTAAATTTCCAACAAGAGGGTAATTGTTAATTATTCAATGAGATATTGTACAATAAAAGTCTTGCTGTTGAAGAATATTATCTAGGCACTCTCAACATATAATAACATGTAAAATGGAGGACACAATTATATATTGCATTAAATTATATAAATGAAACCAAGCCATGATTATGAATGACTTTAATATGCTGTTTTAAACTTTTCTGATTTTCCAAATTTCTACCATGAACATGAGAATTAATTGCTACTTGAAATTTTTTCAGAAAAATTAAGTTATTTACCTTAAGCTAGGTGTGGTGGCACAGGCCTGTAATCTCAGCACTCTGTGAGACTTGGCAGGCAGATCACAAGTTCAAACCTAGCCTAGGAAACTTAGTAAGACCCTATCTCAAAATTTAAAGAAAAAAAAAAAGGATCTGGGGATGTTCAATCCCCAGTGCCAAAAAAAAAAAGAAAAAAGAAAAAAAATCTCAAAACATTATCATCTTCAGAAAAATGTTAGCCAAAGTATCAGTGCTCAAGCTGCTGATTCAAAACAGAATGTGCATTAACCAAATATACATATTAAACTAATTTAATAATTCAACACAATTTTAGGATAGACTGAATATTTGCAGTCACCTTAGAATGTGCTACCTGATGTTTATTTCCAGACATGCTCTATGATCTAGTCTTACAACTAGATTCAAGACAGGGAAAGCCTGAAGTCATTTGTACATCTTAGTTTCCCTAGAACTCAGGAGCAAGATCTTGAACATAGCAGGACCTTTCTTTTTATTGATAACAAAGAAGCATAGACCAGAATTCCACTCAATAAATGGAAACAAAGGAAATGTTCCAAGTACTTATTCATAGCTTACACCCCCACACATATATACATATACTCTACTTCCAAAAAGGTATCTGAGATGGCTTACAAGTAAAAGACTTGTAGAAAATATCATTAAATGAGAAATTTTTAAAAAGAAAAGGCAAATATGTCATAAATTTATATGCCTCATTAAGACTGAGCTGTATTTCACAAATATTTCTGTGCTTTGTGGAAGCCAAGATAGAAAAGAAAATGAGTTTTAAGATTGTGATTATTTGATTCCTAAAATACACATGGTGTTTCTTTGAATGGAAACATTTTCATGGTACAATTCTAAACTATGATTATCTTTTTTAAAGAATATAAAACATTATAAACTACAAAAATAGCTTGAGATTTTACTCTGAAAGCAGCTCTTTCTACATGGCAGGCAAGAGATGGAGAAGAAATCCATTCCAGCACCCACCATATTTGAGAGTGATTAATCAGAAGCAATTTTGGGAAAGAGTTAAGACTGAACTACTCTGAGAATCAGAAGCTACAGAAGAACTACACTTCAGAGTTGTTGGAGTCACCCTACCAAAGTGACTGGATGGGAAATGGCCATAAGAAACAGTCACAGAGAGGGTGTAGGCTAGACACAGACCTCCAGAGAAGTTTATGCTCAGGGTGAAAAGGACACAGAAGTCCTGCCCTCTGTGGTGAGAAGTCAGACCAATCAAATGTGGTCTTCAGAGAGAGCTGGGTCTGAAAGTGCTGAAATTAAGACCAGAAGACTGCTTGACCCCTCGCTCACCCCACTGTCTACATCCAGCACAGAGCTCAGTCATCTTCTTGCTTTTTCCTTCTGCCAACATGATCAGGGATATGCCTCAGCTTGAGTGGTTGCCAAAGTCTGGGGTGTACAAACAGAGGGTCCTCTGGAGCAGGGGTGGCATCTCACAAACCCATGGGCCATAAAACTAGGTGAAGAAAGCAGTGACTTGGGGCACAAAAAGGAACATGGAAACTGGAAACACATGGACTGAGTACAACCCTAGGACCACACCATTGATCAATCATGCCCAGCAAGAAAGGCAGGGAAGGATAAGCAGTCACACACAAAAAAAGTGAGTGTGGAAATAAAATAGGATTTAGTAGTCACTGATTATCCCTCCTCCATATCTGGTGGATTCCCATGTTCCAGACCTTGCAAAGAAGTCATTCAGATGTATGAAAAAAATTTTTTATTAATTTCTCTTTTGCTTTTTTGGTTTTATGAGGTTTGGGTTTTTCTTTCTTTTTCCTCTTTCTTTTTTCTTTTTCCTTGATTGTGCCTTTCTGCTACTTTTATCTAGTTTTATTCATTTTCCTTTACTCCTTAATTGGGTCCTTTATCACTTTTCACTCCTCCTCCTCCTCTTCTTTTTTAATATTTCAAATTTTACTTCATTCATTTTCTCCTTTCCCCTCCATTTTTATTAGTATTACTATCAAGTTTTATAATATTTAGATAAGTAGTTTACCCGAAGCTATTATTGTTGAATTCTTTTCTATTGTGAATAGTGGCATACTTTTTGTATTTAGTAGATATTTACTATACATCAGTATTTGGTTTGTCTTTGTGTCCATATTATTACTATAGATCTCTTTTCTGTGGTTAAGGATGGTACAGGGCTAGATTTTATTGGTTTTTATGGTAATCAATATCCAATTTATCTTTTATTCTATTACTATTGCTGATTTCTTTGCTTTTGCCAATGGTGGCATAGTTGTTGCTATTAACTGATTTTTACTGGATGCCAATATCTGTTTTGAATTTGTGTCATCAACATTACTGTGGCTCATTTCCAGACATGTGGGTGCTGGACCAATCTTGTTGCACCCCTTCCCCCTCAAATTAAAGGAGGCGGTTGGCTCTTAGGATGGGGCAAAGGCCTGTAGTTAGCCATGCCCAGAATGGATCACTGGAAAGCAGACACTAATTAAAGATATCTCCATACTAGCAACAGAGTCTTTCCATTTTAATTGTTCCTTCATCATTATCATGTGTGTGTATGCACACACACACATACACAATAGGCATGAGGAAAATGAAGGGAAAAGGCAACAAAATGCCTCCCCAAAACACCAAACTCCCACAAAGCTAATCTATGGGGAATCAATGGAGAGGAAATAAAAAACTAAACAGCTGAACTATACAAAGTGATTAAAGAGGGAAAAAAGATTAATAAGGTGCTCAGTGGGTTGAAAGATATTATAACTGAACACATAATGGACTTAATAAACAAAACAATCAGTGAGTTTACAGAAAACACAAATAAAAAGCTACCTGAACTAAATAAAACTATACAAAACATGAATGACCAGTTTAGCAAAGGATTAGTGTCGATTAAAAGGTACCAAACAAATCCAAGAGATGAAATTACTATTGAAAGTGTGGGCAGGGCTGGGGATTTGGTCAGTGGTTTCACCGCCTGCTATGCAAGCGCAAGGACCCGAGTTCGATCTCCCCAGTACCAAAAAAAAAAAAAAAACAACAACCAAAAAAAGAAAGTGTGGGCAGCAGAAGTGACCAATGTGAGGAATGTCAGAACTGGAAAATAGGCTGATGCCCATGACCATATACTCAAACATACCCTAAAAATAA